GCCACATCGCCACCCTCCACTCGCTGCTATCGCAGTGACTTCACAGCTTGATCTCCTCTCCATTCATCTTGCTGTCATCTTACACTGACGTCGTGTACCACCTTAACATCCTGCGCACATATTTAATGAATCATCTTCGCTGCTAAAATGTTACTAGTCGACTATATAACCGTCACAGTGGGTATATTTTTCTGGTATTTATGCCTACATAATATTTAGGATTCGCTTTCGCAACAAAAGTGAAATAGCGGCGAGCGACGGGCGTCGGGCAGTGGGCGACGGGGAATGAGATGAGCCAAGCAATCGATACCGGCCGCGGGACGGGCGGCGCAGCGCGGTCTCGCGCGACCCTCATCTGCCATATGCTTTATACCAACATAGTGTTCAATTACTTTGATATATTGGCCTATCCATATTGAATATTGCAAATGTTACATTTTAATTTAAAGATAGCGGTTGGTGAATAGAACGTACGTTTCTCGTTTCAAATTTCGCTAGACGAAAAGGGTCACGAAGGGGTGGGGGGAAGGTGAGAGCCGTGTCAACGATGTCGATATCGCGAGCACTCACTTCAATCTAAGTATAATATTGATTTTTAGTGTCGGGTAAGATTTCATGTATTGTCTCCGCGGACCTTAAAAAAACAACGATCTTTAGGAAACATTTTTTTTAAACATTTTTATTAATGACATATGTACCACTTCAATAGGGTTAGCCTCAGCTATGTGTACTTTTCCTTGTCTTTTACCAAGCAAATACATATAAACACTTTTATTTCTTTTGTTTGTTTCAGCAACACAGATTCAATAAAATAAGCTCATATAATGCTAAAATTACCCAAAGGCCTTAAGAAGAAGAAAAAAGGTAAAAAGTCAAAGCGTAAAGGCGAAGAAGAACTTTTTACAGAAGAAGAATTAGAAAAATATAGAAAAGAGCATCAACAGCAACAAATTGAAAGTGGAGATGGTGCGGTAAAAGAAAATGAAGAGTGGTCAAAATTCAAAGATTTAACAACAGGAATAGATTCTGTTCTTAAAAAAACTCAAGGTGATTTAGATCGAATAAAATCTACTTCATTTTTTCAACGCGTTCAACCTAAAGAGGAGGAGCCGCAAATTAAAGAAGCAACCGCGAGGCCTGTCGTAGAAGTTACTGAGGCCGATTTCCCGCAACTGGTACAAACTACAACTGATCCCGATGAAGATAAAAGTGATTACGGATTAACAGATGAAGAGTCCGAGGAAGAGGAACAGGACGACATCTTTGACACTTCTTACGTAGAAGCTGTTGAACGCGGCGAAGTAAAACTCGCCTACGTACCGGACTCGCCTGAAGAATTTCAAGATGATGGATTGTTTGACACATCACATGTTGAAGCGTTAATCAAAGGTCAAGACGTCAAAAGTAAGGGGGACAAAAAGATCTTAGATATTGGAGTCGCTGTTGAAGTTCTTACGGGTCGCATCGATAATTTAACTGTCACATCAAAAAAACGCAAACGAATAATTCCTGGAGATCTCCTATTAGAGAGTGTTGACTCTGATTTGCCAGTAGTTGTAAAAACTACTGAGGATGAACCAATAGAATCAAGTATTTTAGATGCTGACACTGACGTACCTATAACTACACCTATCGATCTGAGTATTTCGCTCCACACGTCACTCATACAACAAAATAAAACAAGCAGTCAAGAAAATATTTCTGACCTTGGTAGTGGTGACACAAAAAAAACAAAAACTGATGAAGAAGAGGACGATGAATTTACATTATTAGCGACAGAATCACTTGAAACCAAACCTCAAGTAACAAAACTAGAAGAAAAAGAGATTAAAGTCGAACCAGTAATCAAAGAATCCTGGTCTGCTTTTGAAGCCGACAAAAACGAGTCTGTTTTTGCTGAAGGGATAGTTGAAGATCAAATTGAAATTTTAGACCCGTATATTGATCAAGACGATCCTTTTGACACTAGTTTCGCTGATTCTGTAATACCTACTACACAATCAGTACAAATTGAATCAAAACCAACCATATTAGAAGACGACGAAGACTTTGATCCTCGGGCGGAAGAAATTCGTGGAAAATTGAATAATCGACGTAAATCGTCTGTGAGAATACATTTAACAAATCCTTTGGGCATAAGGGAATCGATAACATCCGATGATATCATCGACACTGACGCAAATAAAGTACCACGTGACTTGTTAGGTGGGAGTAGTACTGATTTAAGTCAGTTAGGTGATTCGCCACTAGATCCATTGGATGCGACCAATTCCGATATAGATCCGTTTGACACTACCATTGTTGACAAAGTCGTAGCACCTGGAAAAGTTGAACTTAAATTATTGGAGCAAGAATTGATCGGTGCTACGCAATCTGTTATCTATCGCGTGCCAAGTGATCCCGATTTTGATCCACGAGCTGACGAGCCCAAACAACAGGAGAGAAGAGCGTCGCGACCAGAAAATCTTACTGTTAGTAAAAGTGTTGTATTCAATGTTGATGGTGTAGAAACTACTGATCTTGATTCGAAATCAAAGCCAATTAAGCCTTTAACTCCATATTATACAAAGGAGCTGTCAATAACCGAAGACATAAGCGAAAGTGGTGAGGTTATTGACAAAGGCAACCAAGAATTAACTCGAACTCGGTCCGATGAAGATTTGTCTACCAGTATAAAATCCGTATCTAAGAGACGTCACTCAGAATATCCTCAAATAAACCAACCAAAAAATAATTTTAACTCAGCTGATCTTTTCACTACTACTTGTGAAATACACGCTAAAGTCCTTACACCTTCGGGCCTACAGTTAGAACAGAGCAACATTCAGAAAGTTGAAGAAGATCCTTTTGATACTTCCTTTGCATCTGATATTAAACCAAGTAAAACAGAATTAAAATTACTAGCCAAAGAACTAGATGTTGATGATTCTAAAGTAGTTTCAGAATCAGAAGGAGACCGCGACTTTTTGGAGACATCAGACGATATTTTCCAAGTTAAAGCTTTAACACCACAACCTGTAGGTTTAACGCAATCACAAGAAGACTTTGACCCTTTCGATACTTCTTTTGCAACTGCTCTAAATCCAGGAAAAACAGAATTAAAGTTGCTTGAATCTGAACTGCTGAATTAATTTTTTTAATATTACCTTCAAAATGGCGTACAACCCGTTCTTGAGTATGAATGAACCGACAGCTCCGGCAACGGAAGATGTACTTAATCCTTTCATGATGGTCGATATTGAATCATCAGCGTTAACAGGAGACAATCCTTTTGTGGCCAGCAATCCGTTCTCAGACTTTGGCGAAAATTATGAGCCTGCTGTCGGTGATACAGTGCCTGTTGACATATTTGGAGGAGAAAGCCCAACAAATTTGGGGGCTAAAAACTTTGAAAATACTCCACTAGACGTGTTTACTGGTCAACAGCCAGACTCAGAAAAGTTTACAAAACCAACAGAATTAGATCTAGTCTCAACTATAGTGGATTCACCAAGCCCAACAAGTGAAACGTGCAGTCGGGAGCCGCCTACCCATTCACTTCCTCCTGAAACACAAAACTTGATTCTGAGTGTGACTGGTCAAATGGAATTTACCAGTACACATTTGCTTGATCGCATTCCGCCGACAAGAACACCCAGCCCAGTGTCCGTGCGAGATATTCATTCTCCGAGTCCTACGCCTGAACCGGAGTTCCACGAGGAGGGAACCACGATTGAAAATGTCGAAGAAACCAAACACAAGCCAGCAAGGCCGCCACCGGCACGACCCCCGCGGCCGGCTCCGCCTAGCGTTGCGCCCCCGCGACCTCAGGCACCACCCAGCCCCGTGCCGCCACGTCCTGAGGCGCCTCCCAGCGTTGCACCCCCACGAACTCAGGCTTTGCCATCGGATGACATAAACCTTTTTGATGCACCTGTCCCGGTACTCACAAAACCGACAAAGGAAGACATTTTGAGTTTATATTCCGCCCCGAAAAAAGAAGAAAAGCAGATCGATTTCTTAAGTGGCGATATTTTAGAAGACATGCATCCAGATTCGGGCTCTGAAATACATACTTCGATGATTACAACAATGAATACCACATCGCCATTGTTTCAACATGACTTTGTAACTAACGACAATGTCATGGATGACACTATTATTCCTATGGATTGCTCTGAACCCATGGATATATCACAAACAAACACCTCACCTCCCATGGAAGATATAGATGAAAAGCTCCAAGAATTGGCGGAATTTGAAAAAAATCCATTTGAAACTGACGAACAAATAGATGAAGATCTGCCGAGCTTTAGTAATGATGTTTCTGATATTTTTTCATCTCAACCTGAAGATTCTTTTATGGCATCGAATATTGAGGTTCAAGAAAATCAAAATGAGGCATTTGTACAAATCCAACCCATAGAACAATGTCCAAAAACAGAGCACAAAATATTTATGGAAGCTGAAGCAGGAACTATGGTCAACGAGGACATCACCTTTGATACTGATAAAAGTGACATCGTCGTGAACAACACAGGTGTTCCGTCCTCGTCCGACTTCGGCTGGGACACATCCGAAACCACGGTACACGAGTCTGCCCAGCCGTCTGAGGACGCGTTCGACGCCTTTTCCGCTAAATTTGAATCTGCAACCCCCAGCCACATGCAAACGGGTACCTAAAAATGAGTTATTACATTGAATTTCGAGTGCTTCCAAAATTTGCTTTTAGCACTATTACCTTACAGACGCGTGGGGTGACAACGGCGGCGCGGAGACAGCGCCGGATGGCTTCGAGGCGGAAGCATTCGACCCCTTCCTGAGCCTGCAGGCACCGCCACCTGCCGCCACTCCATGCCTCGACCGTCAGGGCTCACGGGACTCTGCCGATGATACGTTCTCCGTGTTTATAAGGCAAGTCTTAATGTCTACATTGACACATTTACATAAGTGTCTGCATATTCATGACCTTCATTAATTGACAGACCCAAGGACGACTCGGGCGGAGCAGAGTCGGCTGTGCCCGTACTGGCCCCACCGCCCAGACCCCATGCGCTGCCTGACTCCCCACGCACCAACCCCTTCGACAAGGGTGAAGCTGAACTACAGCCCGAGACCAACACGCAATATGGTGACTTACATGCTTTTGTAATTTCATTCTTCAATTTTTGATGCTACGATACGCCATTGATCACAAACCGCATTACAGTGTGAAAATGACCGAAGTGAAAATGCCGCACTTTGTTAGGAATTCATTATGTTTTTAAAATTACTTGTAAAAGTCGAGTCTTTACAACTATTTTACATGAAAACATGATCGACATTAACAACTTCAGAAGACAACCGTCGGCAGTCGGGTGGGGGCGGGGAGACGCCACCCACACCTTTGTTTGACGAGGATGTATCGGCGCCGCTGGAGGACTTCCCGCGCACCACGTACACCGGCCCGGGCTGGGAGATGCACCTCCGACAGCCCAATAAGAAAAAAATCACCGGTCAAAGGTACTTGAAAGTCGAAAGCAGGTTTATTGGAAGTAAACAATTTTTATTATTCCATCGGTAGTATTAGTTTACGTAGTGAGTAACGAGACATCCATCCTTCCATCGGGGACACGTTTAACGTGCACAGGTTCTGGAAAAAGATGTTCGTGCGGCTGGTGTACGCGGGCGAAGCGCCGGCCGTACAGCTGCTGGGTTCACCGACGGACAAGGAACCGCTGCAAGAGCTGCCACTGCAGGCTTGCTATTCCGTGTCCGACGTCGGCGCGCAGCAGTTCGACCAGTTTGGCAAAATCTTCACGGTCAAACTGCAATACGTCTTCTACAAGGAGCGCCCTGGAGTCAGGTCGGTTATATCTTATTTCCACCGATGACAACTACTACTTGTAATAGTCAAGTTTCTTTTCTTGTAGTATTTTGGTAGATTTAAGTTTAGAGGTATAATGGCGTGTGGGCGTTGTGCGCAGGCCTGGGCAGGTGACGAAGGCGGAACGCATCACCAGCAAACTGTCCCAGTTTGCGGCGTACGCCATGCAGGGCGACTACCAGGGCGTCAAGGAGTTCGGCAGCGATCTGCGCAAGCTGGGCCTGCCCGTCGAGCACGCACCGCAGGTTCGATCTCCTCCCCCTCAGCCAGCAGTTGCAAAACAAAAGAAGTCACACATATTAATTCAGTATTACAATTTATCTTTTACGAAATATAAGTAATAAATGTCCCTATATCATGGTGACACCACGAGCAATACTAATGCGTGCGGTGCGCAGGTATCGCAGCTGTTCAAGCTGGGATCCTTGAGTTACGAAGACGTGAAGCAGTTCTCGTGCTGCGTAGAGGAGGCGCTGTTCCGACTGCCAGCGCACCGCGACCGCGCACTCACCTACAAAATGGAGGAGGTAACTGGCGCATGTGCAAGTCCACGATGCACCGGACAAATTTCTTGAGGTTACGATGGCTCGGTGCAATTTACGGGACTTATGCCTGGACTGTTTGTTTTGTTTTTAATTTATTTATACGCAGAATTAAAGAATTGGCGAAAACTGCACCTGTTAGATATTAGTTCTATATTTTAAGGAAAAGGTATAGTCGGTAACAAAGGCTCGGTCGGTCGAGTGGAGATGGAGATGGAGCATCATTAGATAGAGCTAAGTGGCACATGGGCAGGGCGGGCAGCGCTGACGGCGCGGTGTGTGCGCAGGTGCAACTGACTGCGGTGGACGAGCTGTACGTGGAGCAGGACGCGGAAGGCGGCGTGCTGAAGCAGATTGCTCGAGTGCGGATCTTTTTCCTCGGCTTCCTCAGCGGTCAGTGCATTGTAAATGTATATCATACTGCGTCATATTTAAATAAACATGAGTAGGAATCGTTGCAGTTCTAGGATTACCCCGACTAGAACATATAGTATTACCTAACTAAATAGTTCTATCCCACACTAGCTATCGTTCGTGACTTCGCCCGCGTGAAATTAAAAATAATAAAAAACATAGCCTATGTTATCGATTATTCTCGTGCCTCATCCTACCTACAGCATTTCGTGGTCGATAGTGATCACGACATAAGACGATCATAAATAAAAGTAAAAAAAATCGATTTCATATAACAAAAGGTAATATATATTTGACTAACTTGGTGGAATGGGTGAAAAATTTGTAAAACAGTTAATGGATATAAAATCGTGGAGTGGCTAATGCGCAGGCATGCCGGACGTGGAGGTGGGGCTGAACGACCTGCGCCGGCAGGGGCGCGAGGTGGTGGGACGCCACGACATTATCCCCGTCGCCACCGAGGAGTGGATCCGCGTTGAGAACGCAGAGTTCCATGCCTGCGTGCAGCCGCACGAATTCGCCGAATCACAGATACTCAAGTGAGCCCGAACATTTCACATTTATCCTCGCGGATGTTTTCTTCAACTTTTTGAATCCCACGTTTGTCTTTCCCTTGCATTATGAGGTGACTTTCTGGCATATAGTGCCAGAATATAGTATATCCAAGGAATTTACAACACTGAATGGAATTACAATTATTGAAACATGGTGCAGGTTCAAGCCGCCAGACGCATGCTACATAGAGCTGATGCGGTTCCGTGTGCGGCCGCCCAAGAACCGCGAGCTGCCGCTCCAGCTCCGTGCGGCCTGGTGTGTCGCCGGCAACAAGGTACGGCCTGACCCATTTGACTTTCCTCATTAGTATTTTCTGATTTTATGGAGGTCAAGTGCGATTTCCTAAATTAGATGTAGTCGAGGGAAGTGTAGAGCGAGGGTTGTAAGAATATTGCGCATGCGCAGGTGGAGCTGCGCGCGGACGTGCTAGTGCCGGGGTTCGCGTCACGCGCGCTGGGACAGGTGCCGTGCGAGGACGTCGCTATCCGTTTCCCGATCCCCGAGTGCTGGATTTATCTGTTCCGCGTCGAGAAGCACTTCCGCTACGGCTCCGTCAAGTCTGCGCACCGGTACCTAGCACATCTCACATATTACTCTTTCTACTCTTTCTTGCGAAACTTGCTTGTCCCCGTGGCCGGTCGGTAATGAAGAATAAAAAATAAAATAAAAACACTATTTACTGACCAAAAAAAA